GGATGGATAGGACACTCCTTAAAAGCATCTCCAGGCTTCTTGGGATAATTTCACATTTTTTGGGACACTGAAGAGCCATGTGACCAAATCCTTTACAACTATAACACTGCATGCTAGACATATCTCGACGTTTGCATCTCTTTTAAGCCACATATGCAACTGAAATCGGTGCTATTTGATTCTGTTACTGCTTCAAGAAGGTACGAGATATTAGACCCTACTCTTCTCTCAACAACTTACCTAAACATCCATCCAATGTTGGGATAGATTCGCGATTCATGAAATTGGATCTAATAGATTCAAATTCAGTTTGCAATTTCATGATAAACTAATCCCTTTTGGTGACTTCATGTATAGCTTAGACACCTACCAAACTGTCAGGTAAAACCGTAGCATAGATAATATATGTATGTTCAGTCCAGAGATTGAAAAAGCAGAATAGTATTCTTCAATGGAATGCGAGTCTTGAGAAAAATTTTCCAATTCAAACTCCAGCTGAAGCTTCCTAGCTTTTCTGCTCTGAGTATATAAGGCCACAAATTAAGAAAAATTTGAGCATCAACAGATTCAATAATCCAGGCCATAATTCGAGAATTCTTTGTTTTCCAAGCAAGATATTTCTCCTTCTCCTTCTCCTTCTCTTTATTAAGAGGTGGAATACTTCCATAAATATGTCCATATAGGTAGCCTTTACCCTCAACTAATGGCTGAAAATGAAATGCCCATGAAGAATAAATTTTTCCAGTAAAATGAATGTAAATGTGGTAACTCTTTTCAATTGACATGATGATACTGTGTACAAAATTACTCACAATCCAAATAAATTTTTCAGTCAAGAATTAGCCCAAGTGATTTTTTTTCAATCAACAAGAATGAGCCCACAATCACAGCCCAACCAACAATTCTATTAAAACAGTTAAAAAAAAAACCCAACAAAAAAATAAAAGCCCAAATACATTACTGACCACTCACAACCCACTTGAAGCAAGACCCAAACCACAGATGTGAGACACAAAGAGAACACTGAGACGATGAGGAGAGACAACCAAAGTGCGTCAACCAGTAACCAAATGACGAGTCTTGCCCGAAATTCGAATAACACGTAGGAGCTGTACTAAATGAACCCAGGAAACTTAAGCCTCCAAAATAAAGCATGAAGATGCCGAAGAGAAGAACAGACACTACGCCACGATGTCTGAGACTCAAACTCTGACCGGAGATTACTATGAACTGAATATACCCATTTACTCCCAATGGGCTTCACATTTGGGGACATGGCACAACATTCCAAGTTTGATTTGCCTGAAGAGACCCAATGACAATTGTCTGAGAAGAAGGCTCGACAGTAGTGACCTGTGTAACATGCTCACTCTTAGCAAGTTTACATGAAGAACAATCAAGTGAGATAGACGAAACTGAAATAGGAGTTTTACTACCAAGCAAACTAGAGTTTAATAAATGTTGTAACACATTATTATTGGGATGTTCCACTTCCTCATGCCAATCAAAAATATTAAAAATAGCGGAATTGCAAACAATGGGAAACTGTGAAACAGGCTTTGGTGAAATAGGAAAGAGACATCCCTTCTTAGGCCCCATCATGATCGTCCTCTCGGACACCTAATCCTACACAAGACAACCAAAAGAAGGAAAAGACACAATATAATTGTTATCAACAAGTTGACCAATAGATATAAAGTTAGTTGATAGACTAGGAGATACTAAAACATTTGACAAGTTTGGTGATATATCACCCATGGCCAGGATAAGAAGTGAATTACCATCGGTTGTATGTATATGGAGAGGTCCAATATATGGTCTAAGATTGTTAAGCACCGAGTTATGGGTTATATGGTTAGAAGCACCTAAGTCTAATAACCAAGACAAAAAGGTTGTTGATGAATTACTTGAGACGCCTAAGGCCGACAAAGCAGAGATAACCATTTGTTGGATCATCTCAGGAGTGATGGTATTCTGGAAAGAACTGGGAGAAGCAAAAACTTGAGTACCTGGCGTAGAAGAACTGGAGGCTAAAGTGGCGGCAGCAACATAACCTGCTCCAGTCTTACGTGGAGGATAGATAGGACACTCCTTAAAAACATCTCCAGGCCTCTTGAGATAATTTCAAATTTTTTGGGACACTGAAGAGCCATGTGACCAAATCCTTTACCATGTTAAGACTTGGGGTCCATCTTAATAAGGTCAACCTTATTAAGATGGACCCCAAGTCTTGACATGGTATCAGAGCCCAGTAAGCTCCAACGAGCTATTCAATCCGATTAAGTCTCTAAAAATGAGCACACGGATTTCAAGATTGGTCTGCTCAAACGAGCCACCATCTTGCGGGGGCATGTTAAGGGAATATAATCCCACATCGGTAAAATACCGAAATAATGACCAATATATAAAGGATTGGGACACTCCTCTTAATAAGGTTGACCTTATTAAGATGGACCCCAAGTCTTGACATATAACACTGCACGCTAAACATATCTCAAGGTTTGCATCTCTTTTAAGCCACATATGCAACTGAAATTGGTGCTATTTGATTCTGTTACTATTCCAAGAAGGTACGAGTTATAAGACCCTACTCTTCTCTCAACAACTCACCTAAACATCCATCCAATGTTGGGATAGATTCGCGGTTCATGAGATTGGATCTGATAGATTCAAATTCAGTTTGCAATTTCATGATAAACTAATCCCTTTTGGTGACTTCATGTACAGCTTAGACAGCTACCAAGCTGTTAGGTAAAACCATAGCATAGATAATATCTGTATATTCAGTCCAAAGATTGAAAAAGAAGAATAATATTCTTCAATGGAGTGCGAGTCTTGAGAAAAACTTGCCAATTCAAACTCCAACTGAAGTTTCCTAGCATTGCTACTTTGAGTATATAAGATCACAAATTAAGAACAATTTGAGCATCAACGGATCCAATAATTCAGGCCATAATTCGAGGATTCTTTGTTTTCCAGGTAAGATACTTCTCCTTCTCCTTCTCCTTCTCTTTATCAGGAGGTGGAATACTTCCATCAATATGTCCCTATAGGTTGCCTTTACCCTCAACTAATAGCTGAAAATGAAATGCCCATGAGGAATATATTTTTCCAATAAAATGAATGCAAATGTGGTCACTCTTCTCAATTACATGATGATACTGTGTACAAAATTACTCACAATCCAAATAAAATTTTCAGTCAAGAATTAGCCCAAATGATTTTTTTTTTCAATCAACAAGAATGAGCCCACAATCATAGCCCAACCAACAATTCTACAAAAATAGTTTAAAAAAAAAAAAGAAAAAAAAAACCCAACAAAAAAATAGAAGCCCAAATATGTTACTGACCACTCACAGCCCACTTGAAGCAAGACCCAAACCACAGATGCGAGACACAAAGAGAACATTGAGACGATGAGGAGAGACAACCAAAGTGCGTCAACCAGTAACCAAACGGTGAGTCTCACGTGAAATTCGAAAACCACGTAGGAGTTGTACTAAATAGACCTAGGAAACTCAAGCCTCCAAAATAAAACATGAAGATGCCGAAGAGAAGAACAGACGCTACGCCGCGATGCCTGAGACCCGAACTTTGACCGGAGATTACTTTGAACTGAGAAGCAATTCCTGTCTGAGATGTCGACCACCAATGACTATGAACAAGGAGCCAGCCAGCAATACACGCATGAATAAGTGATTCTATGGCTCGATTGTAAGGATTTTTAATTAAAGATGGGCTTGTATGTGTGAATAATTGTGTGTTAAATTATAGGCTATCGAATTCGGTTGAGCCCAATTAAAGTGATCTAAAAAGGCTTCGATTTTGGGTTTTAATGTATCCACTTAAAGTATGAATTTACATATGTGTAGAGACCGGGCCCAAATCCTAATTCTATGATGGGCCGAATTAGGTCAAAGGGCATCCCTATATAAATAGGTTATGGTTCCCAGATCACACTCAAAGTAATATTCATTCTCTACTACATCCCATCACAGAAAGGAAAAGGAGACTGCGTTTAGATTTGGAAGACCATACCGCGAAATTCATATTGCATTAACCATGTCAGATTCAGGTATGCTTCCGCTTTAATTCTTGTATTTCTTAATGATTTAACATGATAGATCTGGTAATTTAAAGAACTAAATTATCCAACAAGTGGTATTAGACACTCTTCATGTTGAATCATTGAGAATCAAAAAAAATTTTAGTTTGGTTCTTGCAATATATTTTGAAATTTTCAGATTTAACAATTTTTGGCTATATATTTTGTTAAATTTGAAAATTTTTTTGCGGTATAATTCTTGTTGTTTTCGAAATTCAGATTTGGAATTCGGATTTTGGTTTCAGATTTAAAAAAAAAATTTGAATTTCGCCCGCGGCGGCAAGGCCGCCGACACTGCAGTGCTGCAGCGTGCGTTGCTGTTGTAGTAGCATACTGCAGCGGGCAGCGCCGCTGCGGTACCAGTGAGCGCCCACCGGTGCTGCCACACCGGCGCTATTGCTTCGGGCGGCGCCAAGGAGAAGGAAAAAAAATCTTTTTTTTAGGGTTTTTCTGATTTTTGGTTGAATTTGGGGGCGGGGGCCTCTTCTGTAAATTAGATAAGTTGAGGCCCCTGGTTGCAATTAGGGTTAGGGTTATAAAATTAAGGTTTCAAT